GAATTCACACAATATTCCGCCAAAAATCCAACAAATATTTAAAATTCGCCAATTCAAAAACCCATTTTGATTGTCTGATATTAAACAGTAATTCACATCATTTGTGAGAAAGCCAATCGGAGTAGTCAGCGACAAACAGTTTAAATAACTTCTGCTTTCACGATAAAGAAGGAGGACAAGAATTTTTTGGTTTTTTGTTCTGGAATTTCAAGAAATTATAATAAAATATAGCGTGTTTGTGCTAACGAGAGTTGATGTTATTGCTTGAGATATTAATATTGACATATATGCACAGAGCAGTGTTGGCTAAAATTCACTAATCTTGCCATCGCGGAAGAGTTTTACCAAAACCGCCACTGCCCGCGTTCAATACAAAATCACATATATAAACATTTATCTAGTAAACAAGAGCTGTGAACGTAGCAATATATAGTGCATTAACTTGGTTGACAGATAAACTTCCGTTTAAGATTTTAAAACTTAAACAGTTTTCTAGAACAGAATACATCTCGCATTAAAACTTAACGAAAAACAAAGTTGTTACAACACTGACTACAAGAGGGCGCTCACATTATCAATCCAAATACTGAAGCAACTACAACGTAGTCACAGGCACTGGCAATTTACAACCGTCGTCAGTTCATCAACTGCCTCGATTCGACCAGAGACATAAACAACGTTCTTGTTTGCTGAATTTTTTTCATATCCATACTTGGTTAACCATCTGGTCTCCCCAGGGTCTGAACTTCGTAAATTGGCGACCTCAAGAGGGCGTTTTTTAACCTATATAACGCATTCAAGTTGCACATACATTACTTAGTGATGACGATATTTGCTTAGTCAGTGTTATCTGATAAGTGAAATAAACCCCCCAGGTGTCGTCTGGTCAAAGGTCGAAAACTTATCGTAGCATTCATCAACCTCACACAAATAAATTTATCAACATATGTCTCTTTTGGACGGTGCGCCATATATAATTTTAATGTAACCCGACTTAGACTTTAACCCCTGTAATATCACTTAGTTTTAACAACCCCACGACTAATCGACAAAACATCGTCGTCATCTACTCACGCCTTGTATGTTCAAATTTCGCTGTCCATTTATATGAAAGGTTGGGTTATTGTTTTGACACGCAATGTTAGCACGTTATTGTGGACGTCTGAATTGGTAACGGTGTCTTTACATGTCAACGTGTTTAGTAGCGTGACATTGCGAAAAACAAATTTCTACCCGGCTTGTCACCTAATTGGTTCCGTTGCTTTTGCTTGTTCTTTTAATGATACTCTGGCGTTATTATTAGCGCCTGCAAGAGCGATGGTTGTCGCATAGCGCGTGTTCGATTTTCGTCAAAAGCAAACAATGTTTACAAGCGTTGAATACGTCGCGAAGAGACCAAGCGCGCTTGTGAAGTTCGCGTAAACGATAATACTGTTCACACTCCGTGTACACGCTTGTAAACGGCACTCAAATAAAAGCCACGAAGCGCACGTAAACACAAGTATATTTAACAAGCGGTGACTCTGGCCACGACGTTTTAAAGTAAAGTTTCCGTCTAGATTTGTTAAATTATCACATTTTATATATAGTTCATAACAATATATTCTGAAGTTCTTTCTAAAACATTGTCGTAAGTCATTCACGAGCATACCAATCATTTCATCAAAATGACATTGATGACGCTTATTAAATAGTGACGATATGAAGACAATTATCAAATAAGTTCAGTGACCGTTTTTTGATCTACCCGGAGTTAATACCTAAAACGACAAGACTGTTACAGTCAAAACTAATTCCCCCACCCGGATTCAAAATCGAATAAAACAAGCAAAAAATGCGGAACTGAGCTAACCCGTCTATCGACTAAGCGCGATCACACGCCAATTAAAATATCAGCACTATCTACAAACACGCTGATTACTCGCCTCAGTGTACTATCGCACGGCATCGGGGGTACATTATTAAAAAATGAACATCGGGTGTCATCTATATGCGCGTGCGCAATTGGGTGCTTGAGTGGTTCGCTTAATCCTTGAGGAGAAAAAGGGCCAAACCATTGTTACACAGTGCTTTCAATCCGTACGGTTGGTACATGCTGTCGGTACTACATTATATGGACACGTTTTAATACACAATTCTCGTGAGTTCCACCATCCGTCGCCTTCGCTGAAAACCATTACACCCTGTCGAAGCTGCTTGCTAGCATAAAGGGGTAAGCGTAGCGTAGGCACACAATATGTCTGGCTCGTGTACACCTATGCAGATACTCATGAGATAGGTATACGACGACGATCCACACGCAGTTGAATAGACGCCGTTCTTCCGTATACTAGAATTACCACCTTGTGTATATGCAATCGCTCTTATTGCGGCACACCGCGGTATTTGGGGTCCTACGCATTTTACTGGATTGCCAGTTTTCATAAACTATAACCATGGTTGGTTACATGGTTTTATATCGGTGGTTCTTCTTTATATTTGCGTTCTTCCAGTACGAATATGCACACAGTGCGTCGTCCGAAACTATCGTTCCCGACGGCAACGACTTCACTCAAGTTAAAATGGCCGTCATCCTTCCAAAAGACACTGACCAGCCACCAGAAATACGACACTATCCATACAGGTTTGAAATGGTATGTCCTGCAATCGACATCGCCGTTGAGGGGATTAAATCGCAAGAAGATTTCTTCGGAGGACGAAATGTAACTCTGGCTATTAGAAAGGCCGATTCAGCTTGCTCTAATCTCGTATCTCCGATTCGCGCCGTGGAATTCATTACGGAGAAACAAGTGGACGTATTTTTCGGACCAGCGTGTGACTATGCCGCCGCAGCCGTCGCCAGATTCGCCGCTCACTGGGATATACCTTTTTTGACGACTGGCGCCAAAGCGAAGGAATTCGGCATGAAAGACATGGCCGATTTTAGTACCTTAACTCGGGTACACGGCCCCTTCTTGAAAATGGCCGAATTTACTATGTCAATTTTCCGTCATTTCCAGTGGAATACAACCGCGATTCTTCATAATGACAAAGACGTGTCTCTGTACAGAGACTGCTGGCTGTTCGGCGGTGCCCTGTTTCATTTGTTTCACGGAGCCGGTTGGTACGACCCTGGCAAGGACTACGCTGGGTACCAAAAATTTATTGAGGAGGACGATCCTGATTATACAGAAATACTCAAGGAAACGGTGATACCAAATGCTAGAAGTAAGTTTTGTTCTCATTATCGCTGACATAATTTTGTAAAGGTTAAAAAACAGGAATGTATGATCACATATTTTGCCGTTTAAAACTTAATTTGTGCGAACACAGTAATAGATTTAAGCTTTGAAGTTCCGATGCATGCTGCAGAACGCGCTGTAGTAGAATGTACCTTGATTGCGAGACTGTAAATGTGGCAGTGAATACAAATTAAACTGTACATTCTGTACAATTTTTACGCGGCGTGAGTTGTACGACGGAGTGGTGCAGTGTTTACGGGGATGGTTTGTATACGCGGTCTTTAGGGTATTATACGTATTGTATGGGTATGGCTCCAATACAAACACGTGTGACCGTAGGAACATACAACAGTCCCTTTAGTAGGACATTGATTAAACACAGTTTTGAATATCATTGACCCTGTTTATTCTTCACTGAAATGTTTGATGAAACGTGCGACATGCCGAGGGTGAGTGACACAGTCGAATTAACTATCCCCCGAGATTCCCTCACTCTCTGAGCTGACGTAACGTCTCAATTGCCGTACACATATCGTGGAGTATTCGTTATAATTTCTTTGTAACACTACCATTCAACTGAGTACGCAATGCAGCACGCCCGTGTAAGAATAATACTAACAGTGAGATTACTGCAACATTAGTTTGGCTTTGTTAGCAATATGTACTGCTGGGAATTTAATAATCGGATATTCTCAAGGACAGAAATTAATGCTACTAATGATTAAATATGACAAGTCCAAATGGAGCTCGAAAAACTAAATTATAGCACATAATTTGGGTCTTGATATACTCTGCGGTAACTTGTTTTGATTTGTCGCCAGAGCAAGGGTCATGCGTTGTTAACAAGGTTGCGCTACTAGAGAGTACATGCACTATCATTGATGACGGAAGTCACGTGATAACAAGAATGCTAAGTTGACATTTATAACCATAAACAGCGTGTAAGAATATAAAGTGAAGTAACATTTCGTTACAGCCACGGGGACTGAATCCGGTTTTAAAGGAAGTCGTCGTCGCGGCGCGTCAACGCGTGTAAGAGACGTTATTCGGTTATCCGAAAACGCGAAACGCGCGCCGCGTGACGACAACTGCTTCGCGAATAAGAAATCCGTACTGGCTGACGTCCATCGTCAGTAACTCGCATGATTGGGGCTGTGCGCTGGGTATGCAAAACTACTCATGCGTACTGGATACCCGCATAATGAATAGACGACTCGCATAAAAGAAACGTATGATTAAAGACTGCACGATTCATTTACGGGAATCAATATCTTAGGGAATTTTCACTCGCGCCAACAAAATTACACTGTTCAATTTCATTCATGTACGTTGCAGACATGCATGTTAGCGCATTGTCCAACTCCCATGAAGCAGCGAGAAGAGTATTCTTACCGCCTATTAACCGACGGCCGTTCTATTATTGAATAGTACACAGGAACTGTGATTACAGTATGGGGCATGGTGGCATTATTGTTACGAATGTCTATAACGCTACTGCGTAATTGTTGGGATAAATAACTCATTTTAATGTCAAATTTGGTGGTAAATGAACATTCACTTTATTCGTTGCTAAATAACTAGAAATCAAATACACTCAAACAGACTTTTACGTCGCACAGATATATTTTGATATGTTGTTTACAATACTTTTTTTTTGTAAGTTACGAATCAAATGAACATAATTTTGTGTTGCTCACCGATCCTGATCAAAATTTAAAAATTAATCTTTAACAAATTATGCGAGTTGTGAAAGTTCAAGTTTACTTTGGCTTTGAATGATTTGGAAAAGTAAGTGGACGCGCTCTTGCAAAATAGCAATACCCTAAGGCATTTTATTGAGGAGATTAGTGAAAGGAACTGAAGACAATAACTTTAGCATGGAGTGTAATGTTGAGTTATATTTAACAAGAAACGGGTTTCTATATTCAACAATTGTACAAGTCTTTGAATTGAAACTTAACAATGGCACACACAATGTATCAGGAAATCTAACATCCAATGTAAACATATGAAACATTGGCGAAGATCTTGTAACAGCATTGCGATGCAATTTTTCTTTTAAGCAAGAAAAAAAAGCACGATCTCGCGCGTGTCATATGACCATTTGAAAATAACACGTTTTCGAACATTTCCTGTAATTACCACGATACCACGATCCATGCAACCCAAGAGGTCCCACGGCAGTGCTAATTGACTTATTCAAACGTACGGCCAATCGCTGAGATTGGATAATGAAAATTGAGAGAAAAGTGGTACCAATATCGAATTTATTTCGGGTGTCCAACTTGTGATTTGAATAATTGCTATCAATAATTTTGTTGTCACATTTGCTCGTTATTAGGTAAATCTGTTAACGCATTGCTAATTTAAATCAAATTACCACATTTCCCTCTTTACCTCTAGGTCTTAGTCAAAATTTATGAAAATAAAATATTGGACAAACTGAAACTATATAGATATACAATTGATTTTGAAGTTTAAAGGTCGAAAACGATTAACAAGCAAAATCCCAATTGTTGGAACCAGGCAGTAAGATACAGGGACTAGAATAAATATAACAATGCAAAAATGCTTATGTAAAATAAGAAAAAAAGGTTAGATGCTCTAGATAAACATGAATCTTGCTTACAAACTTCAGATAACAAAGTCGGGTTATCAAACTAACTTTTCCCCCACACAAGTTGGGTTGAACCTTCATAGAAACTGAGATTTTTTAAATAAGAATTCGAAAATAAAAATGTTGACAAGCCATTGTCCGTTTCATCATCTGTACCATATCGATTATACGTTGTACATTTCCACACTACAGGCTACAACAGAAATAACGCGCGAGATTCGTCTGGCGTTGCTGACATCTTACGTAATTCCAAATGTCATACATTCCCGATACATCAGTAACCAAAAACAAGCAACCACACTATCATTATTAAAACTAATTATACATTTCCAATAAATCACTTTACGCTTGTAATAATATCAGTACAGTATTTATTCAGTGTATAATTGGAATTTCCGTTCAAGCGTGGAGTACCCCTTAACTCATGTATCTATTTGACACCTGACATTTCGATTCTGATCAATCTATGCAATTTGTTTTCTTTACAAACTGATTACTATGCATTAATAATGAATATATTTTCATCTATATCAAATAAGTTGTAATATAATACCGTACTTAACGTCATTTACGGCTATAAATTATATTCAGTGTGTGCACAGAAGTTGCGAACACAATCAATAATACTATTATTTTAATGTGTGATCACACGTTGTTATTGCCCCCCCCATTTATTAATACCTGGACTTATTTATTAATGCCTGGACTTTATTTATTAATGCCTGGACTTTATTTATTATTGCCCTGCCTTGACTCATGTATTATTGCCCAGACTTTATGTAATATTACACGCACCTCATTTATTATCTCCCGAACTTCATTCATTATTGCCTTGACAACATCGATGCGCGGAGTTCATTTATTATTGATCGTACTTATTTATTATTGCCTAAACTTCATTTCAGTTTTCATTGATATTTGACACATATTTGTAGCTTTGTTTATGTCCATTAAATTGTAAATGAAATAGTTTTGGTTCCTCATTTGATCATCCGTGCTTCCATTCTCTAAATCGTAACACCAATATGCAAATTATCTTATCGTCACATACAAATATGCAAACAAGCTTAAGTCATGTAAACTATACCCCAATGTATAGTGAGTTAAAATATCCCAAAGCTAATAAACAACACTAGCTCATCACTTATTCGGCCGTAACTAGAGAACTTCATTCCAGGATCATATGGAACCACCCACAATTACGCAACATATATATATACTAGAATACTACAACTGATGACATAATGACATGCTCGTTGAACGCACGCTGCGAGTCTGTGAACGCGTTGAATGCACACAATAGCATCACGTTGTTTTAAAATAACGTTTTGCGCCATGTCCTTTTTTCAATAGAAACTCTTTCTTATTTCACAAACTTCCATACTTTTTACAATACATCGACAATAGTTGACACCACAAAGTAGCACCGTCGGCACGCGCACACGACCCTTGGCGTGCGACAGGCGCTTCTACAGTCAGAAAGTACACGAATCGGACACGGTATTCTGTCCTCGGTTGTACATGGCATGCTATCGCAGTGAGGGACGGTGGCATATATAATCCTTCACATCATGTCATTTATAAGTGTTTCCTAACATATTTGAAATCATCACTGTTCCATTACACACCGTGCAATGTAAATACTTCACAACACGAAAACAAACATATGACCTGTTACATCAACATTGGAATTGTATTTCCGGAACCCACTTGAGATGAATTACGTCATTGCATGATAATTTAATTGCATTCGTACCAACTGTTCGAGCGATGCGCGGTCACGCCTATTTACAGCTACTGAAACCTCCACATACCTGTCCGCAGATAAGAGTGATATTGTTTGCGTTAACTGCCGTGTTATCTTGTATCCGGCCTTCGCAAATCCTTGTATATACTCTGCATATCTCAGCTGTACTCTGCCTAATATAATTCAGTAAACCTCGAGTCGAAGATCTGATTATTTTGTGTGGAACTTAATCAGACGAATTACATCAGCCGTTATGTGCTTTTTTTTTCACAGAGACATTGCTGGAAAAAAAAAACGGTGTTCCTCAATAGCAGATACTATCATTGTGCCTAAAAATAAATGTAATTTATTGTGTCACTCCTCTAATCTATTAGATGATTTGAACTCAGCTGTCTGAGTATAAATACGTCAGACGCTACATCGTCTATCCTTAGATCCGGTTTAAACCATGGATAACCTGATATGGACATGAAATATATTTATTTGATGATTTTAACACACCAATCAAACCTTGCCATGGACATGTCTATATCCAGCTGTCTGGAAAACAAAACAAAAACAGGAGATAAATTTAAAGCAATGCACAATTTGTTAATTTTTTCTTTATCCGCACTACAGAAATCCGTTGTTGCCAAGCAACCAATGAAA